GGTCACATGTTTCTAAGTTTCTGCTTCCTTTTCTTTGCCAAATTGGGTTTATATTCTGGTAGCTCCTAATTGTTTCAAGCCACTACTGTGCATCTGTGTTGAAAAACCTGGGAAAACTTTGGTTTTATTGACATTATAACTTTGGTGCCTGTGGGGAGAGATAATCAAACGAGCAGTTAGATATTTAGGGCAAGAACTATAGCTTGGGAGTTATCAGTACAGGGACTCAATTCAAGTCATATGTCTCCCTGGGAGAGTTTTAGAGAGAGGTAAGTTGGGTCAAAGATAAAATTGTGGGGAATAGGCCAGGCGTGGTGGCTCATGCTTGTAATCCAGCACTTTGGGAGGCTGAGGTGGGTGGATCACAAGGTCAGGAGTTAGAGACCAGCCTGGCCAACAAGGCGAAACCTCATCTCTACTAAAAATACAGAAATTAGCTGGGCATGGTGGCAGGTGCCTGTAATCCCAGCTACTCCAGAGGCTAAGGCAGGAGAATCACTTGAACCCAGGAGGTGGAGGTTCCAGTGAGCTGAGATCGTGCCACTGCACTTCACCTGGGCAACAGAGCAAGACTCTATCTCAAAAAGAAAAAAAAATCTGGGGAATAGCTATGCTGGGCTAAGTACCCTTCTCAGTACTCACGTTAACCCAATGCACACTTTCGTCAATGAAGTTTGCATTTCATATTTTAATTTTATAACTCCCCCACAACAGTTATACATAACTGCCAAAAGAAGTGTGTGTGTGTGTGTGTGTGTGTGTGTGTGTGTGTGTGTGTGTGTGTGTGTATAGTGTGATGGGATTAGAAAACAGGGCTTAGAAACCATCCAAGGATGCTTACCCTTTCTTTGAAAACCTTGCATCCTACACAAATCACTGGAGCCCCTTCTACATGCAGGTTAAAGTGCACAATGAGAGGATAAACTTGAGTGGTTACCTAGTAGATTTGGCAATGCAGATAGCTGTTCTCGCATTTTTTGACATAAAATTATTTGTTGAGAAATATCAAGGTTTCCATCTGGAGTTCATTTTTGTGTAATGTGTAAGAAAGGGGTCCAGTTTCAGCTTTCTGAGCATGGCTAGCCAGTTTTCCCAACACCATTTATTAAACAGGGAATCCTTTCCCCATTGCTTGTTTTTGTCAGGTTTGTCAAAGGTGGTTGTAGATGTGTGGCGTTGCCTCTGAGGCCTCTGTTCTGTTTCATTGGTCTATATCTCTGTTGTGGTACTAGTACCATGCTGTTACTATAGCCTTTTAGTATAGTTTGAAGTCTGATAGCATGATGCCTCCAGCTTTGTTCTTTTTGCTTAGGATTGACTTGGCTATGTGGGCTCTTTTTTGGTTCCATATGAAGTTTAAGGTGGTTCTTTCTAGTTCTGTGAAGAAGGTCAATGGTAGCTTGATGTGGATAGCATTGAATCTATAAATTACTTTTGGCAGTATGGCCATTTTCATAATATTGATTCTTCCTAACCATAAGCATGGAATATTTTTCCATCTGTTTGTGTACTCTCTTATTTCCTTGAGCAGTGGTTTGTAGTTCTCCTTGAAGAGGTCCTTCACATCCATTGTTAGTTGTATTCCCAGGTATTTTATTCTCTTTGTAGCAATTGTGAATGGCAGTTCACTCATGATTTGGGCTCTCTGTTATTGGTGTATAAGAATGCTTGCGATTTTTGCGCATTGATTTTGTATACTGAGACTTTGCTGAAGTTGCCTATCATCTTAAGGATATTTTGGGCTGAGACGATGGGGTCTTCTAAATATACAATCACGTCATCTGCAAATAGAGACAATTTGACTCCCTCTTTTCCTAATTGAATACCCTTTATTTCTTTTTCTTGCCTAATTGCTCTGGCTAGAACTTCCAATACTATGTTGAATGGGAATGGTGAGAGAGGGCGTTCTTGTCTAGTGCCTGTTTTCAAAGGGAATGCTTCCAGTTTTTGCCCATTCAGCATGATATTGACTGTGGGTTTGTAATAAATAGCTTTTATTATTTTGAGATATGTTCCATTGATACCTAGTTAATTGAGAGTTTTTAGCATAAGTGCTGTTGAATTTTGTCAAAGGCCTTCTCTGCATCAATTGAGATAATCATGTGGTTTTTGTCTTTGGTTCTGTTTATGTCATGGATTACATTTATAGATTTGTGTATGTTGAACCAGCCTTGCATCCCTGGGATGAAGCCTACTTGATCATGGTGGATAAGCTTTTTGATGTGCTGTTGGATTCAGTTTGCCAGTATTTTATTGAAGATTTTTGCATTGATATTCATCATGGATATTGGCCTGAAGTTTTATTTTTTAGTTGTCTCTGCCAGGTTTTGGTATCAGGATGATGTTGGTCTCATAAAATGAGTTAGGGAGGATTCCCTCTTTTTGTATTGTTTGGAATAGTTTCAGAAGGAATGGGCCAGCTCCTCTTTATATGTCTGGTAGAATTCGGCTGTGAACCTGTCTGGAACTGGACTTTTGTTAGTTGGTAGGCTATTAATTGCTGCCTCAACTTCAGACCCTGTTATTGGTGTATTCAGGGATTCAACTTCTTCCTGGTTTAGTATTGGAAGGGTGTAAGTATCCAGGAATTTATCCATTTCTTCTAAATTTACTGGTTTATACACTGAGTTGTTTGTAGTAATCTCTGATGGTAGTTCATATTTCTGTGGAATCAGTAGTGATATCCCCTTTATCATTTTTTATTCCATCTATTCGATTCTTCTTTCTTTTCTTTTTTATTAATCTGGCTAGTGGTATATTTTGTTGATCTTTTCAAAAAACCAGCTCCTAGATTTATTGATTTTTTGAAGTCTTTTTTTATGTCTCTGTCTCCCTCAGTTCTTCTCTAATCTTAGTTATTTCTTGTCTCTGCTAGCTTTTGAGTTTTTTTGATCTTGCTCTTTTAGCTCTTTCAATTTTGATGATAGAGTGTTGATTTTAGATCTTTCCTCACTTCTCATGTTGGCATTTAGTGCTATAAATTTCCCTCTAGACACTGCTTTAAATGTGTCCCAGAGATTCTGGTACATTGTGTCTTAATTCTCATTGGTTTCGAAGAACATCTTTATTTCTGCCTTCATTTCATTGTTTATCCAGTCATCATTCCGTAACAGGTTGTTCAGTTTCCATGTAGTTGTGTAGTTTTGTGTGAGTTTCTTAATCCTGAGTTCTAATTTGATTGTACTGTGGTCTGAGAGTCTGGTTGTTATGATTTCCGTTCTTTTGCATTTGCTGAGGAATGATTTACTTCCAATTATGTGGTCAATTTTAGAGTAAGTGCAATGTGGTGCTAAGAAAAATGTATATTCTGTGGATTTAGGGTGGAAAGTTCTGTAGATGTCTGTTAGTTCCTCTTGGCCCAGATCTGCATTCAAGTCCTGGGTATCCTTGTTAATTTTTCTGTCTTGTTGATCTGTCTAATATTGACAGTGGGTTGTTAAAATCTCCCACTATTATTGTGTGGGAACCTAAGTCTTTTTGTAGGTGATTAAGAACTTGCTTTATGTATCTAAGTTCTCCTGTATTGGGTGCATGTATATTTAGGATAGTTAGCTCTTCTTGTTGCATTGATCCTTTTACCATTATGTAATGCCCTTCTTTGTCTCTTTTGATCTTTGTTAGTTTAAAGTCCATTTTATCTGAGACTAGGACTGCAACCCCTGCTTTTTTTTTGCTCTCCATTTGCTTGGTAAATCTTCTTCCATCCCTTTGTTTTGAGTCTATTTGTGTCTTTGCACGTGAGATGTGAGATGGGTCTCCTGAATACAGCACACTGATAGGTCTTGACTTTTTATCCAGTTTGCCAGCCTGTGTCTTTTGATTGGGGCATTTAGGCCGTTTACATTTAAGGCTAATATTGTTATGTGTGAATTTGATGGATTAAAGATTTAAACATAAGACCTAACACCATAAAAACCCTAGAAGAAAACCTAGGCAATGCCATTCACTACATAAGCATAGGCAAGGACTTCATGGCTAAAACACCAAAAACAATGGCAACAAAAGCCAAAGTACATAAATGGGATCTAATTAAACTTAATAGCTTGTGTACAGCAAAAGAAACAATCATTAGAGTGAACTGGCAACCAACAGAATGGGAAAAATTTTTTGCAAGCTATCCATCTGACAAAGGGCTAATATCCAGAATCTACAAAGAACCAAAACAGATTTATAAGAAAAAAAAAAACCATCAAAAAGTGGGCGAAGGGTATGAACAGACACTTTTCAAAAGAAGACATTTATGTGGCCAACAAACATATGAAAAAATGCTCATCATCACTGGTCATTAGAGAAATGAAAATCAAAACCACATTGAGATACTATCTCATACCAGTTAGAATGGCAATCATTAAAAAATCTGGAGATAACAGATGCTGGAGAGGATATGGAGAAATAGGAACACTTTTACACTGTTTGTGGGAGTGTAAATTAGTTCAACCATTGTGGAAGATAGTGTGGCGATTCTTCAAGGATCTAGAAATAGAAATGCCATTTGATCCAGCAATCCCATTACTGGATATATACCCAAAGGATTATAAATCATTCTATTATAAAGTCACATGCACAGTATGTTCATTGCGGCACTGTTTACAATAGTAAAGACCTGGAAGCAACCCAAATGCCCATTGATGATATACTGGATAAAGAAATGTGGCACATATACACCACAGAATACTACGCAGCCATAAAAAAGGGTGAGTTCATGTCCCTTGTAGGGGCATGGATGAATCTGGCAACCATCATTTTCAGCAAACTGAGATAAGAACAAAAAACCAAACACCCCATGTTCTCACTCATAGTTGGGTGTTGAACAATGAGAACACATGGACACAGGGAGGGGAACATCACACACTGGAGTCTATTGGGGTGTGGGGGGGCTAGAGGAAGAATAGTGGGGTGTGGGGAGGTTGGGGAGGGATAACATTGGGAGAAATGATGAATGTAGGTAATGGGGGATGGAGACAGCAAACCACCATGGCATGTGCGTACCTATGCAACAATCCTGCAAGATCTACACATGTACCCCAGAACTTAAAGTATAATAATAAAAAAAAAATCATCGTTTCCTAACTTTAAAAATCCAGACATTTCCCCCATATTTTAATTCTCCCTTGTGGAACTAGAATAGTGACTGCTGTTTTGGGTGTGATCCCATGGAGGTTTAGGGCAAATCCCCATTCCACATGTGTCTGTAGCTTATTTTCTTTTATTGACACAGATTGTGCCCTCAATGCCAGCCAGCTCTTTGACAAATTTAGTCACAAGGATCACCTGGCAACAGCTATTAACTTAATTAAAAAATTCAAAAACACTCTTAGGAAAAGGCAGAGTACCTAGATAAAGAATAAATAAATACTCATAAATAAGATATTTTACTTGATAATTAAAGTGTTCCAGTGATTAGGGACTGGTTATTTTATCAAAAATTAATCCCTACACATTTTTTCCTTCCTTTTTAACTTGCTGAGATTGACTTCATTATGTTCCACATTCAAAAAAATATATAAAATTTAGACAAACATATATTCTGATTTTATTACAGATGAAGGTCTAACTAAAATTTCAAGTATTGGTCAGTAACTGATGGACCCAAATTGTCATCTCAGAATCTTCCTGGCATATTCTGTTTTCCTTGTCAATTCTTGCGATGGTGGTATACCTAATTGACTGCTAATGCAGGCCCTGTTAAGATGAAGTTTTAGTTTAGCTTTTAACAGCTTTAAGCAGAAGCTGTAAAAGAGACTTTTGATTTAGATGAAATAGAATTAATTACCTTTCAAGCCTCTAACAAAAAATATTGTAATTAAACAATGCTAAAAATAATTTCATGAGTTTACCTCTTCCCAGGCAAACATGTACTGAGGCCCTGCCATCTGTTAGACAGGGACCTTCCTCAAAGGCTTGCCTTTTTTCTGGAGAAGACACTTCCCAGGAGATGGAAGGTCTTTGAGGAAGGGCCTTTGTATACACACTTGTGTGTACAAAGTATTACAGCATTGGAATGACTCCCGTAAGTGATCACCTGCTATGGGAGTGCAGAACTAGAGGCACTTAACATAGCTGAAGTTGGTCAAACCATTAAAGAAATGTAGAAATTCAAGGAGTGAATCTTCCAGGCCGTAGGAGCAACAGGTTCAAAAGCCCTGAGGTGGGAATTGTCTTGGAATTGAAAGCACTGCTCATTTTCGGGTGGTGTGGCATGGCTGACAGGTAGGGAATGTGTGTAGCCAGGGTGCTGGAGAAGGCTGGAGGAGCAGGCAGGAGCGAGAGCATCAGGGTCTTGTACATCACACTGCCAAAGGGTTTTGATTTTGCTTTGGCAGTTTTGAACAAGGGAGTGAGTGGCAATGAGGATTTGGTGATAAAATTAGCTTGTGTTTCACACAGGTAACTCTGAATGGGGTTTGAAGAAAGGCCCCAGAGGGTCTTTTAAAGTGGTGCAGATGGGAAACAAGATTAACGCCTCGTGGTAAGACTTTTATTTGTTATTTTTATATTCCTGGTTCTTGGTGCCCTATAAGGCATGTGGTAGAAAGGTGTGGTAGAAAGTTTGATATTCTGGGCAAGAAATTCAAATTTGTGTATCATCAAACTAAGAAGCTCAGTTGAGATCACTTACCTGAGGAAAAGCGAAGAGTGAGGTATGAAATAGGTTAAAGAACTGTGGAAAATAAGTAGGCTGTGCTCACACTATACCTAGGGCATCTCTCGGTCATTGCACCTTCTGTTTTATTCTCTAATTATCTAGCTATGTTTTGGTCTTTTTCACTGGTCCAACAAGATGGCAAGGACTGTATCTTCCTTATAGTGTCACTGCCATTGCACAATTTTGGATGGTGTCATTTATATGCCTGTGTAGTGTGTCTGCACTGTGAATAGTGCCTGGAGTGATGCTTCAGCTGCCTCTGCTTAACTGGTTCTAGCAGCCATCATGGTACCTGACATATGGTAAAAGTTTAATATGTTTGTTGAATAAATGAATGAATGATGACACAACATATAATGAGTGGTCAAAGAAAGAGAATCTAGCAGAAGGAACTAAGAAGCAGGGGTCTGTAGGAAGGAAAGATAAACAGAAGAGACTCCTATCATGGAAACTCAGGGAAGAACAAGTTTCAGTAATGACAGAGAGGTCAACAGTGCCACATTCTACAGAGACTGGCCAATTAAAAATGCCAGAGTAACCACTGGCAATTAGGAGTTGTTGGTAATAATATCAAAAACAGCCTGAGTGGTGCGGAGGACACAGGAGGCAAATTTCCTTCCATTGAGGTGGGAATGGGAAGAGAAGCGAGGAGATTGTCAGTGTAGACAATCCTTAGAGACTGTGTCTGTGAAGGGAAGAAACCACTAATCAGTGAGAGCCAGAAAGGGTTTTAAGGTTGAAAACGAGTTTTCTTCCCTGCTTTTTCCTTCTCTTCTCTTCTTTTCTCCCTCACATTCTTCATTGCTGCTTTCAAGAAAAGAGACACATGAGTAAATTTATAGGCTAAGATTCAAAATGTAGAAAAAATAAGAAGGGATACTGGCTGGCAAGATTAAATATAGAGTGACAAGTCTGTCTTTGAAAGAGGAAGAAAAAATAAGGATGAATGTAGTTAAGAATAAATTGGAGAAATAGGAAATGCAGGAAAATAATAAACTGAAAGAAAGGAAAGGAAATGGAAGAAAATCCCGTCTAATGGCCTCAGTTCTGCCTACAAAACAGTAACTAACATGTTTTGGACACTTTCTATATCACAAACATTGTTAAAATGCCTTAGGTAGATAACTCACTAAATTCTTGCCACAACCTTGTGAAGATGGAATTGTCCTGATTTTACAATTGAGGTAACTGAAAAACAGAGAAGCTAAGTCACTTGTCTGAGGTTATATGGTGACTAAGAGGCAGAACCAGGATGCAAAGCTGTGTACCATCATGCTGTACTGCTGCAAATGAGGGGCACATGGAATACTTAAGATTTCAAACACCAGTGTGTAAGGAACAGGTGCAATATATTATTGCTGAGTCACACCAAGAACTTAATTTCTGTTGGAATTCATAATTATGTTTTGCTGTTAATCTCCAAGATTAAGAGATTTCCTCTAGCAAAACTTGATTTACCGGTTATAGGAGTGGAAATGTTTGGGTGTTTGGATTGATGCAGAATTGGGGATTAGTAGTTTGGAATAGAGGTGCTTCTAGCAAGGGCGCAATTAAAGTGATGGATCATGAAGTCTAGCAGCCAAGCAGAGGGAAAAGAGAGCAGGACCAGTTAATGGAATGGGCGAAAGTGGCGCACCAATGGGCCGGAAGGTGCAAGGGGTTGAAACCAGGTACAATAAGAGGGAGTTGGAGATGTTTGGAGGATTAAAGTTGGGATTCAAGAAGGATACTTAATTTCCAATAAAACTCTAGATTTCAGAAATGAGGGCTGGCATTTGTGATGATAGGTAGGTAGTACAGTTTTGGGAGTGCATGGTTGAAATGGATTGGAGGTGAATGCTGTGGGACATGAGGTGGTCAAGCTTGAGGCTGAGAATGGCAGAGCTGCTGGATAGCTGCTGACTGGGCTTTGCCTCTCATTGGAGAATGGTGCCTGGTCGTCCTAAGGATGGTCTGCACTTTAGAAGGACACAACCCAAGTGTGGGCACTAACAGGGAAAGATACAAAAGGATAGCTGGTTTCTGATGTACAATAAAGACCACTTGATCATCTCAATAGAACATTGTGTTGTCAAAGGACAGTTGCATAGCTTATATTTTGCATTGCAGTTTTGAAAAAAAAACTTGAAGTATGAATTGGAAAAACAACACATGTCACAGGTAACTTTGGATGCTTTAGCCAAATTACAATTGGAAGAAAAGACTAAATACCCTGATGAAACCTCCTCTTCTTCTTCCTCCTCCTCCCTCTTTCTTAAGATTCTCCTGGTAATGTGCACTGTGACCCTCTCTGGACAGAGAGGCACCTGAAGATCATCAGGCATCCAGATGTGGAAGTCTATTATGACATGTGGGGATGGGGGTCGTGGGAGAAGGGCTGGAAACTTCAGTGGGACTCAGTGTGGTGTCCTCTGCTTCTCTAGCCATGTGATGGGAAACCAGTAACATGTGTTTCCTTTGTACAGCTGTACGTACCATTGTTTCTTTTTCTCCTCTGTCCATGTAGGATTTTAGGAAATCAAAGTTAGAACTGATGTAAGCTTAGAAAGCCCCACATGTGCCGGGCGCGGTGGCTGGTGCCTATAATCCCAGCACTTTGGGAGGCCGAGGTGGGTGGATCACGAGGTCAAGAGATCGAGGCCATCTTGGTCAACAAGGTGAAACCCTGTCTCTACTAAAAATACAAAAATTAGCTGGGCTTGGTGGCACGTGCCTATAGTCCCAGCTACTCGGGAGGCTGATGAAGGAGAATTGCTTGAACTCAGGAGGCGGAGGTTGTGGTGAGCCGAGATCACGCCATTGCACTCCAGCCTGGGTAACAAGAGCGAAAAAACCTCGACAAAAAAAAAAAGAAAAAAAAAAAAAAAAGAAAGCCCCACATGTGATGATATGGAGTTATTGCTCAGGCATAGAATATGTGTACTAAGTCTGATCCATAAGTGCTATGAGTATAAAATGTACTTGGTAGGGTGGTTTGGGGTGTAAGGAACAGAAACCTCGACTTGGACTGGCTTCACTTGGACTGGAATCAATTATAATGGGATCAGGTACAACCATGGCAGAGACGAGGCACTATTGTCAGATTCAGACAGCCTTACTAAGGGGAAGGAGACTTGGCTGGCACTCAAGTCCCCAGCTTCAGCATTTGATAGCAGCATGAACTTGGATGGATTACTACCTTCCAGGAGCCTCAATTTTCTCTTACAAGATTGTTGTGGGGATTGAAAGCACTTTACATAAACTCTGAGTTGCTATACAAATGTGACTTACTCATTTAATAGTAAAAATAATGATAAGGACAACAATACTTCCATTTACTGAGCATGTACATATTCCAGGCACTGGCTGGAGGCTTAACTGCATTCCCTTTATTACTCATTAAACACATAGCAAGCAATGATCGTACTCCAGGTACTCTACTAAGTACTTCATTTCCAATTTCAGTTAAGCTGAGGTCTGAAGCCTTAAGGCTCAAGGGCAGGGGCAGAGAACAGGTATGGTTTCAGTTTCACCCAGGGTTTTTTTTTTTTTTTTTGGCCTGTATTGCCAAGTAGTGGCAGCTGGCCATGGGGCCTTGGACAGTTGCTCTTCTCTCTACCAGGGACTGTCATTTGCTAACTAGTTCAGGGCTCACTGCACAGGTGATTTCCAAAACACAAGTGTATGTGTGCTTTTAAAACATTTGATGCTTTTGTTTCCACAGTTCTCTTATTTTCTGAAGTATGAGCTTTTTTCTTTTTTAAGCTTTTGAAATAGTTGAGGGATTTACAAATGCTTATTGAGTTCTTGAATATGTATTGGCTAATTTGAACCTCATGAAAAAGTGAAGCTTGAATTTGTATTGTGTTGAGGCTTAGTGACCATGGGACCTGTCAGTGAGGTTTGAAGTTAGAAAGTAGGGGACATAATTTTTTGATGTTGCAAATTGCCTTGCTTTGAGCATAATGTGACATGAACTTTTTCCATATTTTTGCTTTGTATTCTAATGATGGTTTTCCTGAAGCAGTTTTGGTAGGTGGGTCAAAGGGATTGAACTTTTTATACAGATTGCCTGATTGGTTTGTGGAAGCTTTTTGGATGGTGACAATGATATATATGTAGTTCTATTTTAGAAATATGCATTTTTCTCTTTGTATGTTTTTTTTTTTTGTTCGAGATGGAGTCTTGCTCTGTCACCCAGGCTGGCATGCAATGGCACAATCTCGGCTCACTGCAACCTCCGCCTCCTGGGTTGAAGCAATTCTCCTGCCTCAGCCTCCTGAGTAGCTGGGATTACAGGCACCCACTACCACACCCAGCTAATTTTTGTATTTTTAGTACAGATGGGATTTTACTATGTTGGCCAGGCTGGTCTCGAATTCCTGACCTTGTGATCCGCCCACCCTGGCCTCCCAAAGTACTGAGATTACAGGTGTGAGCCATCATGCCCGGGCTTTGTATGATGTTTTATATGTCTGGAATCATAAAAGATTTCCAGAAAATCTGAATCGTTCTGTTGCCATGTAACATTCTTTTCCTTGGACCCTCTACTCCCTGCAATGACAATAAAAACGGTGTTTCCATGGTTCAGCCTGTACTAAAACTTGAGGAAATCCAGTCCACATCAATTCCTGCCTATTAGTTCATAAAGTCTTGGGGGGAAACTAAAGTTGTGCATCTGAATTAATCCTCGCATTGGTATGAGTTCCTTCTCAAGAGGCTTCCTGCTCCTGTGTATACACTCCCTGAGGGCCTGTATTTCAGACACATCTGCTTTTTATTTATAGTTCTGGTTCTCATACTGGATGTCTGCTTTATTCTCAAACAATTTATGAGGAAGTTGA